TTGCTGGCTACATTTGTTTCGACAATCTTCTGATTATCGTACTTGTATGGACATGTATACTTAATACAAAATATAAATGTTTTTTTCTTTTTCATAATGCAAGGTATTACCACTACTGCAGAGGCGACTACAACCACTAGAGGTAAGTAGGACTTATCATGTTTTCAAAAATGGAACAACGTAAATGAATGTGTTCAATATATGTTGTCGCACTTGTTTACATTTTTTATGTATGCATGCATGCATGCACACAGTGACTGATTGACAATATTTTTTAATGTCACATAGTCATCTGCCGACCCTTTTACCGACCAAGTTGCGTGTCTATTTATTTATTTATTTATTCATGTTGTATTACTGATTAGAGTGGAAATGATCTTGCCAGCTAGCTGCTTGCTGGCTACATGTTTACTGACAATCTTCTGATTATCGTACTTGCATGGACATATATACTTATTACTAAATATAAATGTTTTTTTCATTTTTCATAATGCAAGGTATTACCACTACTGCAGAGGCCACTACAACCACAAGAGGTAAGCTTGATTAATCATCATCATCATCATCATCATCATCATCATCATCATCATCATCATCATCATCATCATCATCATCATCATCATCATCATCATCATCATCATCATCTCAGCCTTTCACGCCACTGTTGGCGGGTGGCCTCCACAACAGCTTCCACGCTTGGCAATCCTGTGCCACTTGAGTCCACAAGATACCGGCCTTCTCTTCAATTTCATCTCTCCATCTTCTTTTAGGTCTTCCTTTCTTTCTGATCTCCTCTCTCGGTCTCCATTCTGTTGTTTTCTTAGCCCATTTGTTATTCATTCTTGCAACATGTCCTGCCCATTGCCCTTTCATCTATTGACCAATAAGATTCAAATATCGGTAGTACGATTTTGAATATAACAATCTTTCTATGTAGCTTGATTAGATGAAGGGAAATCTAAATGGAGGGTAAATGTCTGTCCTCGTCAATTCATTATGTTCTATTACCCACCATAGACTCCGGTCAGTCAAAATGACTATTTTTTTTTTTTTTTTTTTACCCCGTGTCGATTCCCCCTTTGTGTGTTTAATTTTTCACAACAAAGAAAATAAAACCCAGCGACGTAATTTAACCACGTTATTGGTTTCTTTGTGTCACCTTTTCCAACTGTATTTCGCTTCCCCCATGCATGTCATGTTCATTTTTTACCTATGTATTTAGAAATGCATAGATGTAATGACAGCTCTCCGCCGGTTTTGTCCCCTCAGGTTTTGAGGCGACTGTGTAGTGGTTGTAGTCAGAATCTATCAGAATGGAACCCGCATTCAAAATGCTATTTATGTCTTGAAGGCGTGTGTAATCTCTGGAGTTCTGAGGCCTGGGATGTTTTCCAGCGTAATGTAAAAATCGCTGAGACTGACAGCATCGCTCATTCATGCAGCAAAGGTCACTCGTCCAGTATAATAATGTGTGTTGGCATGAGTGGAAAGTTCTCACGCTCGGCTACCGGTACTTAGTGTACTGAGACGTAGAGTAGGAGGCCCGACGGTGGAGGTTTTGATATTTTTCGGTCTCCCCCCGCTGATCGGAGGGCATCCTCACAGTCTGTTGTTTCAGGCGGTGGTTTACCCGATATTACCGGCAACGGCGAGGCTGTGTCCCTGGAGGTCTTTCCTCCTATGGGGCCCGTTGAGGGTCCCTTTGTGGATCTGTCCTTGCACGGCACCGGGTTTGCCTCTGAGATGGGGGCATGTCTCTTTCCCAGCCACGACTCTCTCGTTGATTTGGGTGAAGCTGGGGCTCAGGCTAGTTGCACCAGGCACTGAATACCATCAGGGATGCTGGCAGCCAAGCCTCCGATTTTGGAGCACAGGGCACACGTTGCCCCCCCCCCCCACTTTCAGCCAGAAATCTACCCTTGAGTCCGGGCTCCGCTGTGGGTTTTGACTCCCTTCTCACCCATGGGCGTTCCCAAAGGGAATCGCTTCTGTCATGAGACGCCCCAAACCGGACCCCAAGGCTCCTTCCCCAGACCCAGGTACC